ATATATTTTATTGATTTTTTACAGAGAGGAAGGGAGAGAGAGAGAGATAGAGAGTCAGAAACATCGATGAGAGAGAAACATCAATTCAGCTGCCTCTTGCATGCCCCCTACTGGGAATGTGCCCGCAACCCAGGTACATGCTCTTGACCGAAATCGAACCTGGGACCCTTCAGTCCACAGGCCGACGCTCTATCTGCTGAGCCAAACCAGCTAGGGCAAGATGTTTTTAATTATATCATAATTCAGCATGCAATTTCCCTATCTCAAAAGTATCTTTCTACAGGTTGTTTCGATCAGAAGTCAACATTGCATTTAGTTGGTGTCTCTTTTACTCTCTAACATTTACCCTTGTTTTTAGTTTCTTTCTTCTTGCCATGTATTTGAGGAAGGAACTGGAATATTTAGCATACAATTTACTCCCTTCCGGATTTGGCTGATGGTATCCCCCTGGTGTCTAGTTAGTTCTAGAAACTTGATTTGATTCTGATTTGATACTTGCCCCCCAAGAATACTGCAGAGGTGATATTGTATCCTATCTGGTTACAATGTCTGGTTGTTCCACTTTGGGTGATTTTCAGATTGATTGGTGGCTTGTGGTGCTGTCATCCATCACAAGGCTTCCTTTCAATCTTTCACCTAATGGTTTTAGCAACCATTGATGAATGTTGTCTGGATCCATTAATTCATTAGGGGTTACAAAATAGTGATTTTTGGATTCTATCAAACTCTTGCATTTATCATCTATGATTCTTCTATAAAGAACTTTCTCTACGGCTGAATGGGAAAGAAGGGGTAAATATTTACCATTATTTTGTCAGCCTCCAAAGAAATCCCATGCCCATTAGCAGTCATTCCTCATTCCCCCCCATTCTAGGCAATCATTGATCTACCTTCTATCTCTGTGGATTTCCCCATTCTGGACATTTCATTTAAGTGGAATCATACAATATGTGGTTTTATTCACTTCGTGTAATGTTTTTAAGGTTTATTCAGGTTGTAGCATGGATCAGTTCTTTTTATTGGATACTTAATATTTTTTAAAAATATATATTTTATTGATTTTTTACAGAGAGGAAGGGAGAGAGATAGAGAGTCAGAAACATCGATGAGAAACATCGATCAGCTGCCTTCTGCATGCCCTCTCCTGGGGATGTGCCCGCAACCAAGGTACGTGCCCTTGACCGGAATGGAACCTGGGACCCTTCGGTCCGCAGGCCTACACTCTATCCACTGAGCCAAACCGGTCAGGGCTGGATACTTCATTTTATTTACTTGTTAATTGATGGACATTTGGGTTGTTTCCATTTTCCTGCTATTATGAAGAAGGCTACTACAAATGTTCATGTTTTATGTGGACATGTTCTCTTGGGCATGTACCTAAGAGTGGAACTGCTGGGTCATATTGTAGCTCCTTCCTCGTTACTTTGCATATCAAAGTTATGTTCAGAACCCAAGTTCAGTGCTACTTCCATAGTGTTCCACCATCTCCCTCTCAGAATGAAACTTCTCCCTAGCACTCCCATTGTGTAGTCCCTCTGTATTGTGCTTTCCAGTCGGCCTCAGAGCTCAGCTATTCCCACATGGCTGTTCAGCTCATACTGTGAATTGCCGGAAAGCAGGGATAGGCATAGGCACGCTGCTTTTTGAATAGCCTAAGACATCGAGTACACTGCCCTGCATACAGCAGGAACTCTATTATGTGCTTTTGATGGGTGGAGAGTGTTAATTTTACGTGATCGAACTTATATATATCTAATACTAAATGTCCACTTTAAAATGTTAACTATGAAAGGTTTGGCAAATAACACTTAAAGGTCTGTAAGGCAAATCAGTTTGCTACACTGAAATCTACTTGTTTTGAATTTCAGAAGCTCCATTATGTGGGATTTGAAATTAGGAAAATGAAACATTTTAGAAATTGTAGATAGGACTTTGAAAATAAATAGCACAATATAAACAAAAGTAAATGACATTAAAATTTACTTGATGTTTCAAATGTCACATAGATGTTCTAAAGGTAATTGAAAAATTATATTCAATGTTTTGCTTCCCTTGGTCTTCATTATTGTCTAGTTATGAACTCATAAAAGGCCTATATGAATAAAACACTTTTACTCACATTGAAAGCCTTCATTTGGAACCACTGATGGATAAGAATGGCGGGATGTCTGTCTCCCACTCTGCCAAGGTAGACCCTGGGGTTGGAAATGCAGATCACCCTCTGGTGGAGTCATGGGGTCCACCAAAGTTATTCCCATTCTCAGCAGAATTGTTCATGAACATACTCAGAATGTTCTAGGCCACTGGGCACGTGGTGGGCTGTCCCCACAGTCACTAAGTGGAGACAAGGAAGCCAGTTCCTGATTCCCATGTGACACATTCCACATGGCTTTGGGAGTGACTGAAAGAATACAGGCATGTTGGCTGAAATGACAGGAAAGGATTTGACTGTAAATCCGAGGGAAAGATGTACTCCTTTTAGTTATTAACATAGTTTTATTATTTTTAAATGAAACAAGTAAATATTCAACAGCATTATTTAACTATATAAACCATAATATATATTTTAGTATATTTTATTGATTTTTTACAAGAGGAAGGAGAGGGATAGAGAGTTAGAAACATCGATGAGAGAGAACTACCGATTAGCTGCCTCCTGCACACCCCCTACTGGGGATGTGCCCGCAACCAAGGCACATGCCCTTGACTGGAATCAAACCTGGGACCCTATAGTCCGCAGGCCAACGCTCTATCCACTGAGCCAAACCAGTTAGGGCAACAACAATTTATTTTTAACTTATTTATTTATTTATTTATTTATTTTAGGGAGTATTCTGCAGGAGGGAGTATGCTTCGGGAGGGAGTTTGCTGTGGGAGGGAGTATTTTATTTTTATTGTTGACAGTATTACAGATGTCCCACATATTTTATATATGTACTTATATTCATAAAAATGATTCATGCTCTGTATGAAGAACTGAGGCCCAGAAGTTAACCAGGTTAGTGGTTCTCAAGCTCTGCTGCATCTTAGAGTCAAGGGCAGTGCTGCCAAGGCCCCAGTGACCAATGACATCAGAATCTCTGGGGGTGGGACCCTTGTATTCTTTTTTAAAGCTCCCCATGTTCAACTTGAGGACCAGTGAACTAGGTCATGTTAGGTTGGAGGCTAAAGCAAGTTGTGCTATTGGTTAGCTTGTGCCAGAGTAGCTTAGCTGTTGCTATGTTCTCGTGTATGCTGTTTCTAACAAAAGGGAGAAGCGGTTGACCTCTTGCTCTTCACTACTGAAAGGTGAGAGGTAAAACTGTACAGGGGAGGTCACAATGCTATCCCAGGAGCAGCAGTGCCCT